CAAATAAAGAACGCGTACTGGCAATATAAAGTTGGCCACAAAAATTGATCTAAGCATAATAACTAAAGATAAAATGAGCCACCTTCATTTTCGTAATCGGTTGTTTTTACCCGTTGCGTGTTCTTAAGCTGATCGATCTTATTAACGTACATGACCACATGATTGGTATTTTTATTATTATTGGTACAAATTAGTGTAGCTTAGTTTATGAGGAACTAATGGAAAGTGAATATTCCTCTTTCCTCAGTTCTCCGGCTTTTCAAATCTGGAGTCGGTTTGAATAAGTAATATGCTTTATCGATAAGTCATATTTATCAGATATCTATATATCGTACATTCACAGTTAATCGCAAGATTTAATTGAAAATTTACCACCATATGGGGAACATCTGGATGACGTTTTAACCATAAATCATAATCCTTATTCTACCACTTTTATTCAGATCGAATGAATGAAGTGAGAAATAGACTATCACTAACGTCTGTAAAAGAGCAGACCAACTGTCTACCCTTCTCTGTATATTGAAGCTTCTGTTGTGACTGAATTAATTTTCCGTGGTAAGTTCGCTAGCCAAACGCTTAATCTTCCTAATATTTAACTTCTGAACTAGGAGAGATAAATAGATATTTTTCTCATTATCTAAGATGAATTACTCAGAATAGATATTTTATTTCCACAGACTATGAGCCACACTTATTGTGTTTCAGCTTATGATATTATTCAGTTGTCTAGATTAAGGTAGCTGAAGTTAGGAAAAAAATCACGACTCCTTCGCTGAAATCCCTGTTCTCAAGCCGATGCCGTCAATCTGTACCTAGTAAGATTAGGAAGTTTGACAGTATTAAGTCAAATGCCTTATCACAAAGGTGGTTCTTGACCATGAGCGTGTTACGAATTAGGCTAATGTTCAATAATCTTAGCGCTTCAGATCACAATAAGCATCTCTGATTCATGAACAGGCCTTGACTTTATTATCTAATCAGGGAGTTAATATCATCAACTGTGTGACTTACAATGACGACATTGATGCCCAGCGAATAGCGGTAGGCAACTTTCATCATATTTCTCCCATAGGTGATCACTGTTGTTTGCCGTTGTTAGCTAGGTGTCTTCTACTCCCTATGATGTTCGTATTCACCTTGTATTTTGACTTCGACACCTCTTTATCCGAAATTTTGTCTTTCGCCGTAAATATTCGAGTTTGTACTACATGAGACAGCCATGATTCACGAAATCCAGATGTCCCAGGGTTTCCGCGTCGGTCCACTCGACATTTGCCTAGTAGCAAGTAACAGAAACATTTTACTAGTCTGGTTGTAGCAGATTCCCTCACATTATACCTGATGAAAACTCATAAAGATGATGTATATATTTTCAAAAACTCTAGTTAAGAAAGAATGATCACAAATGACGGAATGGATATAGATTTTGATGGTAAAAATTAGCAAAGTGATATGAAAGCATCATTCCTAGGCAATTTGTGCACAAATGTTTGAGCATCAACTTTTAAATTTATGTGTTCCTATGTGAAAATGCTTTTTTCCAGCTGTATTGCATCATCATTAAACTTTGTCTAAATACTGCTCAATTCTGAGTGTTTTTTCTTCTATGATAATCTCTAGTCAACCATCTTACCCTATACTGATTAATTTTACTTCTATTTGACTTAATTACGGTAACATATTCCTTATTCCAATGATTATTCTCCAAAATTCTTTACTGCCTAATTGAGTTTTCACAAAAAAATACACAGACCTGTTTGATTTTATTCATCTGTCTAAAATTTCTACGAACACTTATTCCTCTTTATGAATTTGAATGAAAAAACTCTACCATTTGGGCATTTAAAAATGGCACTGTCATCCACTTCATGCGTTTCTCTTCAGAGGCGCATAGACTGCAAATTATTATGAGCAGATCAATTTTAACGAGGTTGTAAATGTGATCTAACGTCAATTAACAGAAGACTCCAAAATTCATAGGCACTGCCCAGAGAATTACAATCATATTGCTAATTTGTAGTATGTTCAAGTTCCAAGGAAGAACTGAATGTTTGAATACAATGGAAAAAATGTCACACAATAAAAACAGAAGACAGAGAAGGTGATGAGTAACTTATAAGTGATGCAACAGTGTAGTGAGTTCTAATCAAAATACAAAAAAGAAAAACAAGCAAAGCTTTGTTAAGATGGATAAATTGTCGTTGTTAGCCGTGAAGTCATGATTGATGCATGCAGTGACTTAATAATCTTACTGGATAGCGTTAGACTGAATTCAATTTGGAGGGTTATCAAAGCCATGTAGTCAATGAGGTATTCACTGTCCATTTATGGTTTAAAGTTCTGTGGATGTGTAAAGGATAAATATTATCATGTATTCTGAATAATGAAGGATGTTGTTGTCGTCGCGATTGTCGCAGTTAAGTATGACCTATGAGTCATAAACAATAAGGGTTAAATTTATTAGTGAATAAGACGTCCAGTTTGAAGATTTACCGTAGCCAAGGTAGCACAAAAAGACATAAGTAACACAGATATAACATATTTGTTAACACAGTTAAACAGTTAATATCAGTCATAATAAATTGGCGACGAACATGAGGATTCTGATACTTATTCGTCGACATATGTGGGTAATGAGGACGATGAAATGATCATCAGATGTGGACGAATGTGTTGGTGGCGTATGTTCTCCAGTGAACTTAATTTCAGGAAAGGCAACAGAATACAGAATGTCAGCGAAAATAATCACATGTGACTTGTTGACTGGGCATTGCAAAACAGACGATGCCTACATGATAGGACTGCACAGATCCTTCTGCCTCTATAATGACAGTCATCGATACATTTGTGAGCGGATCGTTGACTTGTTAATGGATAACTCGTGTTGGTGGAAAATATGGAGTCACGAAATCCTGGCGGTCATGATGAACTGGGAACAATGAGAAACACAGATGTGTAATCACGACTTACTGGAGATGGCTGTGAATTTTAAGAGGTTGACTGCCGGAGGATATGTTGGATGAAGTGTGTGTTTGTGAGTGTGTTGGCTCGAGGGAAGTGTGCTGATCATGACACAGAACTTTATATCTCAAACCATCATTATTTCCATTCTCAGTAGTATGTTCACTGAGTATCTTACTGAGTATCACGAGTATCTTACATATTCTTCGAAACAATTTATGCTCATATATTTCGTTGATTGAATTTGTCGTGGGAGATTACTTCATTAAACAGTATGCTTGGACTGATATCACAGACTTCTGAGCGATAAAATCTACAGACAATTTGAAATGCATTTGAAGATAACAATAGAGTAATCACGATCACTTGGAATTTCAGGGACCGTCAACTGATGGTAACACTCCACCGAAAAATATATAGGGTCTGTTTTTCCGAAATATCCCAAATTAAAGTAATTAACCCACTGTGATTGTAGTATATGAGCTGAATGATTTAAATGTGAACGATTAATTGACCCACAAGACAACACCTTCATTGTTTACTTCAAAGCGAAGTGAGGTATTTTCAATGCTGCATGGATGACATAATCATGAATTTTCTTTAAATCCAATGGAACTGGTTAGCTTGAAAGTTTTCTTGGCATTCTGTTCCTTTCTATTTGCAATGATCATTTTTCTGAACAGCAATTTCCCCATATACATACGTGAACTTTACTTCAGTGCTTGATGTTCTTTTGATGTCTATTGTGACATTCATACGAATGTTGAAATCTGCCTTCTCATACCTTCAAGAACTGACAGCACACTATGAGATATTATGAGGTGAACTGTTTCTAAGGAAATATTTTATGCCATTAGAATCCATCCGTAACACGCGTTACTTACAGAACAAAAGTAAGAATGTTATTATCCATTCTATATGGACCCAATATATATATATATATGTTTGACCAAAATGATTCTATCCAAACTTATTTCTCAATAGGTTTTCGGTGAAAACCTCATGAAGTTTTATGATCAGAGGTGTATAATCACTAATCAAATGTCGCAAAACATTTCGGTAACCATCATTATTCTTATGTACATTTGCGTTTTTACCTCACTGCTCATTTTGAAAACATTATTTCATTCACCTGTGAGGTTTTCAGTTCCCTTATAAGATTATGAAGTTTTGATGAAATTAACTAAATTTCTTTCAAGTTTAGTCGCAGGTGGCATCAGATAGACAGCCATTGAGAAACCAGGTAGTGGTGGAAACTGTTTCATTCCACTTTGGAATAGGTCCTTTAGCAGTACACAGCAGTATTAACTGATGATATTTCGAGCACAATTTATTTCTCATAATCGTATCAAGTAACACTAGGAGACTTTATCAAAATGAATTTTTCTCCATGATAAGATTTATCATGACCTGCCATCGCTGGATACTGAAGATCAGATTACAGGTCATAAAGGATTAGGCAAACGGAAATTAGTCAACAAAACAACTAATAACCTATCGCCTAATTATTATGGAGAAGGAGATGAAGATGGGTTAGACATACACTGAGGAGGCTGACGAGTAGCATGAGGAGTCACACGATCTCTCCAGTGGAAGCCAAATGTGAGAAGATGAGTTAGCTGTCTGATGGAAGAGGAGATAAGAGCTAGAGTCAGCTGGAAATACTTCATTGAACGGAGTGAAATGGCGATGTGGTGCCGAAGGCGTATGTTTCACTCAGAACTTGGTTCCATTCGGTGTATGCTGAATATCATATGATCACCAGGCATAGATAGGAACAGCGAGTACTTATGTGGTGAATTAAAAATGTGAATAGATTTATTCATACTGTACTCATTTGAAATACTTAAAAAATAGAAGTAATAACGATTCACCAACCATACAAGACCAGAGTATATTCACAGAGATCAATATACTAATAGAAGATAGAACGTTGTTCAAAGTTCAATGAATGATACTGCATCCCACGCATATACACTTTGTTGATTTACACTGAAACATATAAGTGACTAAATTGAGGGCGTTAACAACGATAAATCAATTTAGAATCAGGTGAGTTCAGATACAGATGGATTTTCAACAATTTTTCTGATAATCTGTTTTGGAATATTTGTCAGTTAATGTTTGGAATTTCCGAGACACTGCTTGGTACCATGAAATGTGAAATGAAACAGTTCCAGTTGATCATAAAAGATGCTGCAAATTCATATTAAGTTGGATTTTCAGAACAACATATTCACCAGATTCCAAGTTAATTCATGTAACTCTTTGACAATAATGTGTTTGAGAAAAGTGTTTCCTTCCGAAACTCTGATTTAAGTTAAATTACTTTGAATACAGAAACTGGTTAATGTCCGCAGATGCAAGGGAGATTTAATGAAGCACTGATATAGCCACAATTAAATATAATGAAAGATGGATTACACAGATTCTTGCCGGTAACTACAGCCTAGAATTCATTGTCGATTTAAGGACTGATATCCATCCTGCGATTATTAGTTTAGATGATCTTGAACACAGAAATAAGGATGATAAAATATTAGTGAAACAGTTATTACCTGAAGGTGGGGGAATGGATGAAGAAGAATGAAGTACGATAAGATCGTTTTGGCTGGTATAAATAGTAAAGTCGAGAATTATCGGGATCCCAAACCAAGTAATGAGTGAGTATAGCATACAAAACCAATCAGAATTTTCGCCAAAAAGCTAAAGAAAATCATGAGTAGTAATGTTCTCCAGCATATTGACGGTAATAACATTTTTACTGGGAAGCAGTCCAGTTTACGGCTACATCATCCTATCAATGTCAACATTCTTCACGTTGAGTTTCTCATTAAGACATTCGGATGACCCTAAAATGTCTCAGAATAAATAAAGACAAGATCCAGGACTACGTTAACTGATCCTTTTAGAGAACGTATGCCCATAATTCTTCAAAAACATGGTCAAGTCGTCTACATTCTGAGCTGGACCAGTGAAACTAGTCTTCATATCATCTTGCTGTAGCGCATTTTCACCATTGTGAAAAAATTTTCAAGGTTCACTATAAACCGAACGAGAAAGGAAACTGTTCTGCTGGATCCTGCTATCTTCAATGATCTGTGGAATGTAATAGCCTGAGGATATTTTATAAGAATATATAAGAATAATACGTTTAATCCTACTCCAAAAATATGGTGGAGATATGTGGATGACACTTTCACAGTGTTAAAAACAGAACATATCTCTAGCTTCTTGACACACATAAACTCACTAGTGGAGGGAATAAAATTCACATTTGAAGCCGAAAATGAGCAAGGAGAATTAGCTATGTTAGATTGTAAAATAAAACGAATAGAAGAAGGCAAACTACACACTAGTGTTTACAGAAAACCAACGCATTCTAATAGATATTTAGACTTTAATTCACTCATCCTTTAACTGATAAGGCAGGCTTAGTTAAGTGTTTAACAAACCGAGCAATGGCATAAAGTAGCACAAAAAAAGACCTAAATGATGAAATAAAACAGATAGAAGAGGCGTTGGTTTTAAATAACTATCCTTTAAAATTCATTAGGAAGATTGAAAAACGCCGAAAGAAAAATAAAAATAATTGTGAAACTAGTAATAATAACATAAATAAGAGAGAATATAAGTCATCTACAGTTATACCATATAAAGAGGGGACATCTGAGACCCTACGTAGGATTCTAAATAAAGCAGGAATTAGGGTGGCATTTAAACCTACAAACTCACTCAGGGACAAGCTCTGTAGGTTAAAGGACCCAGTGGACCCAATTAGACAAAATAATATAATTTACAAAATACCCTGCAATGACTGTGAGGTCAACTACATAGGTCAAACTAGTAGGTCAGGTGTAGTCAGATTGTCAGAACATAAGAATTTAGCTAAGGTAAGAATGGTTGACCCAGAGAAGATAAGTAATTTAGAAAAAAGCTCAGCAATTGCAATGCATGCATTAGCACACAACCACACAAGGGGGTGGGAGAGGGTTAAAATTCTAAAAAGTAATCTAGGTAGGTGGAGAGAGAGGTTGATTACTGAATACTTGTTCATCGAATCTACACCCAACACATGCAATAGGAATGAATCATCACTCATACCCGAAATATGGAAAATGTTACTACCAATCAAATCAAGTGAAAATCAAGTGAAAAACAATGGAACTATATAAATGAATTTAGGAAGTCGTGTGATTACCTTGATATGATTATGAGCAATAAATTGTGCTCGAAACGTCATCAGTAAATATTACTGTATAACACTGTGAGACTTTATCAATATAAAATTTACCCATAATGGAATTACTGGGGATATTATCCTTAAAAATCAGTGCTATTCTATAATTTAAAAGTGAATTCTGGGCAACCTAACTAGTGTCACCATCACTTATCTTTCACAGGTTGCTTTCAAACATTTTAGATATCTCGATTATTCATTAGTTAGAGAGCTCATTTCTGGACTACGTGGAAAGTAAACATGAACGAGAAACTGAAGGTTTGTTGAAACATCTGCACTGCTTTATTCATAGGATACAAATCCACCACCTACTGCTGCACAAACCTGTCTTCGAAAGGTAGGTGTGTTTGTGTATTTTCAGTATAACATGTGATCAAATCAAGTACATCATGTTTACATGTTTAATGGTTTTGGTGACGGTGATCACTACAACCGGTGTAGCAACTATGTAAGTCTCTACTGTAACTGTTTTACTACAAACCGTTGATTTTAGTGAAACACTTGAGTATTTATACAAAGCTTTTTACATACCACTGGTTTTTCTGTGAGTTATTTGATGTAAATTATAACATATTTCCTTATGATTGTTAAATATTAATTGTAAGATAGTTTTATGCAGATTATTCTGATGACCTTTTGAATAGTGGTGACTGGTGGCGGAACTTAGGACTCAGATGTTTCTCTATTTTGAACTCGTGAGCTTGATATAACTGCATTCTCAGTAATTACTGGTGTTTCCTCTGACCCTTGGACCAAGTGCCGATCGCTTGCACATGATGGACACCTGTTGTGTAACGGGTATCAATTACAATTTGTTCAATTTTATTTTGTATTACCTGTTGGTTGAGACAGTTGGACTAAATTGTTCAGTCAGTGTTTACCTGTCAGCTTTTTGAAGGATGCTTCATCAAATTTCAGGGATACACACGTTATTCAGTATTTGGTGGATGGAAAATGAGAGCTACGGTCAAATGGAATCACCCAACCGGAACTATAAAATTATTTTAAGTTAGCAAACAGTTACTTGAATTTAATTTTCAGCTGAATGGAGTATCAGAATTTGTTTTGTTAATATTTCATAAACTCTTACAACTGAAAGTAGTTGTCACTAACTTTGCTTCGATTGAAACAACACTGCTATGATGACTGAATGCTAGTCATCACCAACAGTGTTTAATTCTCTGCGAAACGTCGATCCATAATGTCGCTGATTTTCTCTAGCTGACTATTTCTATTATTTTACCTTTTCAGTGTACTCGGTGCGATCCCCGTGTCAGTGTTATTGATTATTGAGAAACTTAGAGAGACTTTTCCACTTAATGAAGGACTGATCTCACTTTCGGTGAGTTTGCCTTCTTTGATTGGATAATGCATGTATGTTTCTTTTATAAACTCCTGACAATTACGCGAAATAATCGTTATAAATCAACGACTGGACCGCTAATTTGTACTCGGTGTTACAGGCTGATTCATCACAGATTAGTCACATCTTTGACTCGAGTGATGCAAAAATCTGATAAATCTTCTTTTGCTGACTACAGACTTTAGTGGCTGTTATGTTGACTGAAAATGTTTTGTGTATCATATGCGTGATCTTTTCGTCATTCATAAAATCTGTTCTACACTTCTGCAAATGAGGAAGGCATACGTGTTGAGTCTACATTTATAGTGGTGAAAAATTGTCGACAGACAACTCGTTGTGTGCAATTGATTAGGTGAATAATTGTGGAAAGGCCACAATGATATCATGGTGCACTTCATACTTCTTCAATACACATGAATAACAAATTTCAGAATGAGAAAATGAGGCAAAATAAGGAAAGTTTGTTTCAAACATGTTTATCACTCCATTTCATTAGTCTGAGATGTGTGAGCGTCAAGCTGTTTCCTGTCAACAAGTATTGCGAAGCAATTGGCAGATATTCCAAACTTTCAGTGAGAGAGTTATTTACAGTTGCAAAATGTTTCATGTTTTTGCTTTAGAACCCTTGTGAATTTCACGCCACTTCAGTTACATTTGGGCGGGACGACATTACATTTTCCTTAGCTATGCCAACTGCTTAATTTCGTTTGAGTCAGTGCCTAGTTGAATATTAAGTAGGGAACTAAAGTGACGTGATCAACTTGTTATCTGAAGGGTGTTCCATTTTCTTGATTTATCCTTCAAGAAAATACGTGTACTATCGATTCTTTCGTAAAATCCCTCATAGTTTCAGGTTGGTTCATCTAGTTTCTAAATGCACACTGATCACATTATGATTAGTCCGTAAGAATAGAACATACGCCATCATGTTTCTACCCGAATAATAAACAAACTAATAACCAGTAGCGCAATAGCACTTTATTCAAATTTCACTCGTTAATCTTAACGTTAATTTGTCAAGATAAACATACTTACGATTTCTTAGGTCAATATAATCTTTATATGTTTTAGGTTTTACTATGGTCAATTGCCTTACCTGCTGTCTCCAAATCCATGGGATTTTTAATTTTTGCACCATGGATTATCACAATCATCGTAGCTCTGTTGACACTGATAATTGGATACAGAACTGTGAAACGGAGTGCGAAAGTGAGCATCATACTATTGAGCGTCGCTGGTGGAATCACAGTGTTGGGTATCATTCTGTTAATTGCTTTTAGACTTGCCCAGCGTGAAGTAAGTAGCGTGTTATTCTTTGAAGCACTAAGTTGTCCTATTATTATCCCATATTGTTCAAATAATGTCCATAAATTACTATTTTCTCCGTGACTGGATCTTAATTGTGCAGGACAGTCTATTAGAACATCTATCAGAAACGTAGAACACACTACTGTATTGTAGCAGAACTGTCCATTAGTCAAATTTTATTCAGTAATTAAACGACATTTGAACTATAAGTGGAAGCTTCGATTTGTACAATGCATTTCTTCTCTGCTTCTTTTATCTTCATTTCGAGATTCTCATATCGCTTCACAGTTTTGTTCATTTCGCTGGTTTGGAAATCGACCCGTGCCTGTACAATTCAAGATTCTTGGAGAAGATTTGAATCTTCATATCACTTTCAAATATTCCTCACTTGCTAACGACACATAACTTTTGCATATACATGAAACATACAACAGGAAAACTTACGAAATCACTTATTGCATCAACCATCAATTGCATATCAGTAATTTCAATTCTGACCGATTTCTGCCACCTTGAGGTGGTATTCGATGTTGCATATCTTAATGACCCAGTGAGCTACACTGTTTGTGATTAGTGTTACTGCAGGTCATGACATGACACAAAAGTTGTTTCGATGGCGGTAAAACTAAGAAAGTTATCGTCATAATGTTAATTGTTCGCACTGTGTTGAATGTCTTTAGGTGAAGTTGTAGTAATGGGGAGTCAGAATCTAACATCTGTATGATGTCTGCTTTAGATGACCATCAGCCTGGCTCTTCTTACTCTTCACCGTGTAAAGTGCGAACTAGAAGATGTCGATCCTGGATATTGGGCATCCGACTAATCTTGTGGTGGTCAGCAGCCAGTGGTAAGATCTTAGTACGACAGTCAAGTGATTTGAGTGTGTAGCTCATGTATTTCAGCAAATGATATCATATTTGTCAAGTCTGCGGTAAGGACTGAATTCTCAATATTATTGGTACAACCTCATCAAATTACTAAAGGCCACCTGGAGAGAGTATAGTCTAAGTGATTGACTCATTGAAAGGGCTACTGACAATAGCCTGCGTGTCGATAAGCATCAAACACTGCACATATTATGCAGTCAAGTGGTGGATAACGTGGAAAACAGACAGACAGTGGTTAATAAGATACTGAAAGTACTCGTATAATACAAAAGACAAATCACTAATTTATTCTCGGTCCATATTACCTTCTATCTGTTACTTGCAGATAATTGCAGTTATTCTGTCTGGCATATTTTTGGCTTCCGCTGTACTCATAGTAAGTCAGGTGGTGAATTTTGAGAATATTCATGAAACTTACAATGTTACGTATTATATATATATATATATTATATACCATGACTAATTATCCGTTGTTATTATACTGATATATCCTCAATACACTTCTGCTCATTCACGCATGCATTGTGTTGCGTGTGTGTGGAGGTGTGTATGGGTGTTGCTCGCTGATTTCTCTTTCTATTATGAGAACACTTCTCTTAACCTCAGTTGATTATATCATCTTGTATTATTTGAAACTTGATTTCTCCTCACGCTTATTTAGTTGCTTAATTAATAAATAGTCGTCTTCCTTCATTTGTCCCGTATCTAACCTATTAAACTTAAGAAAAGGCGTGAACAGAGAAGAAAATTTTCTTTTCGACGATTCATTTTCATGAGCTGTACAATCGTTATTATATTTAACACAGACTTCTTTAGACCAATAAGACACCGGCAAACTTTGTCCTCGAAAAATGCATTGCGTAATGGAAGGTGTAACCTACAAGGGATGACTAACTGTAAGTTATAAAAAAAAGCAGAGGTTGGCATAACGCAATAAGTGTGAGATAATGATCAGTCAATAAGCTCGTGTAGAATGCACAAACACTAGTTTAAATGCGATAAAGTGTTTCAATATAAAATCTGTATGGAAAAGTAACGTTATTAATAAACAGTAATTGAGTGGTAATAAAATATGGATGATGGGAATAATAATAATAAAATAATAGCAGTAATAAAAATAACAATAATCAACTAACATGATAAAAAGAAGCAAAATTATAGTAAGAATTTTGGTCTGACCACGGTAGGGCGAGAGAATGTGTGTTTTGCTTCTGAATGCACAGGTCCGGTTTCAGATCTCGAATAGCTAATGCTTCATCTATGTACAGTGGCGTAAGCGAAGTCCCTTTGTATGATATTGAGGGACTCTGTGTAGGAATATGAAGCATTGATGATGCGGTGCTCGATGTCCGGAGATGGCAAGTTGTTCGAGGATAAAGCTGCTGCTATTATGTCATTTATGTATTACCAAGTTGCCCATGAATTACGCAATCTTGTAACTGAGTACCTCGAATTATTGCTGCTACTCATGCACTCCACTGTATGTTTTATTTGAGAAACTTTGTCCACATCGCTCACATGAATACAGCAATTTCCTATTCCTGGGTGATTTCACTTTCCAAACACCATATGTTGAAAATACGTTGATTTCCGAATCTTGCTTCAGTTTGAGAAAGTTATGTGAATTAACTGAATAATCTCTGAACAGGAATAACATCAGTCGAATCAATATATGTGTGAAACTTGAGGTAAATGGCCTTCACATTTCAAAGTTTAGTGGCAATCCTCTTGAAACGATCGTTCATATAACTTCCTGTGTTTTCACATATTGCTTCTCTTTAATAGGTGTTATATCTCACTGGACAAGGTATAAAGCGTTGCAACAATGAAACAACGAGAACCCTTCTACCGATGTGGTTAGCTCTGATTACTTGGGCAGCAATTGTTTATTTATTCATATCCATAGCTGTGATGTTTATAGAAGGCGAAACGGCGAAACGTTGAAAACTGAAGAATAACGCCCTCCCTCTTTGAAAGATCAAGGTCATTTATGCATGAAGAACATTCACCTGTGTATCTTTCTTGCTGGTTCTGTAGTAACAATGAATTCTATTTGAAATAAATTTTGCAGTGATGTATTTTGTGTTTACTAATAACAGATGAATGTGTTTTTCTCATTTGTTGGACAGTGAGACACTACCTACTACATATTATAGTGTGAGTTAATTTTATCTTGAGATGAGGAAAGGAATAGGAAATTGAAAATGCAATTCTCGCGTTTACTGACTGTTAAATACCAGTTATAAATTAACGATGAGTTAGCTCACATAGACTGCATGGTTTGAGTATTTATCAACTATTAGCTTTAGGAAGTTTATTATGAATATGCTTCCATCAACATTTGAATATATATCACTATTGAATCTGCACACAAATAGAGATTTTGATTTTGATCGAGCTAATTCAAATGAAACAGTGCTCACATGAATTAACATTGTGTATTCAATTGTGAATGTTTTGTCTGTTTATTAATACAGGTTTCCACATAGCCTCTTCAGCTTCTCTCGGACTATGTCTTTTGTGGGTATCCTGCAGTGTGAGTGTAACCTTCCTTCCTTTTCATTTGATTTTTTTGTCATGATGCATAAGGGGACATTTTCCTGCTGCAATACTGCCCGCATTCGCTCTTGTTGAAATCAGGATAGTCATATCCTCAGACTGGTCGTTGTTTACATTTCTATCTCTTCATATGTCTCTGCAATCCATCTGGTTAAACCAGCTGGGAACATGTAGATTACATTCTATTTTCACATACTTACTTTAGCTTTTATCGTTAGAATGTTAATCAGTCGACGGGATTCACAAAATCTTCAACCTCTTACTACCACCCTCAAACTAACAAGTCTTCCTCTTTTCACTGAACCATTAGCTTGTTTTTTCATTTTTTTCTGGAAATTTCAGTAGTGGAGAAATATCTGTGTTACCTAGTTTCATTGCTTCTTTTAGGTCAAGCTCAGAAACCAACATGGTGACCTCTGAGAAGTTTCAATTTTTGTTGTGAGTTTCCAGTTTTCAAAATGATCGTGATTACTATTCTGTTATATTTGGATGAGTTTCAGACGGTCCACTATGTTCCTTTTTCGCAGTGACTGAGAAGTATGCAGATATTTGTGATGTCATTTCACTCATAACACCTAATAAAATAATCTCCCATGAAACATCCACTCAAGGAAATGTTAGAGCAAATAAAACGGTTTGGAAGAACTTTTTATCAGCAGAAAAGACTAGACTCGAAGGAGTTCAAACTCAGTCGGATGTGTGTAAGTTATAACGAAATTTAAGACACCTAAAGTTTCCTCAGATGGGCTAGACTTTGATTTGGTTTAGATTCCGTTGATTCCGTTAGACCTATATATTTCTGAAAAGATAAAAAATTTAGTGAAGAAATGCATTCCTCATCAGTTAGTGCCTCATCACTGGCTCTACACCAGTGTATAGTTTGTTTGTATGAAAAATATAGTAATCATTTGCTTATTTTATTTTCCACACAGCGTCTGAGAAGGTCCTTGAAAAGGCCTGCTAAAGCAGATAAGCTATACCGTTTATTCACTAGCCAAACAACCAATACTCAGTTCGAGAAATAAAGGCGAACTGCCCTGTTAAGCCTCTTCTATGTGTATTGACCAGTTTGACTACTTGTCCGGAGCTAGTTGCATTGGGCATACGACCAAGACTAGGTCTGAAAAATATTCACGTGGTTCAATACTAGCTCATCTCATCGTTACTGGACATCAAGTTGACTGTGACGAAGCTTTGGAAGTCACTGACCGTATTTCACCCAAGCATTCACATTGCTGTACTACTATGACTAATACATACAATAGAGGCAATCCAAATTAGTTTGAACAAGCCCAGTCTGTGTGTGGCTGCAGATTCTTTTATTTCTGTGGCCAACTACACAATATGTATTTAATTTCAAAAATTGATTTTTCGCCTCCTCTTGTAACAATAGTTTGCACTGGCTCTCTGCTACCATTACCAGCAGACTCTACGTCTGTCGGTAACTTTTCACTATATTCTGACGCGGTCCACTTCGTGTCATTTAATGAGGTGAACGTGTAGCTTCCGTTTTCAGTTCCACTCGTTGTCTGCGGATCGCTGTCACATGAAGGTCTTCTCAGGGTACCTCCAATACATCATAATTACATTCCATACTCTATCTGTCAAAATGTTGTTTATTGGGTTGCTGCCAGAATCTCTCATTGCCGATGGTTTCCGGACATAATCTTATCATTTTGCAAGCAAACCCTTCCAGTCAGGGCATCTTTTGGTCTTTCTATTTGAAGATGGACTAATTTTTCCAAGTTCTAAGAAGTATAGCGCTGCACCATTTCTTCAAAAGCTTCAGTAATCCTCTTTTGATGTTTAAAAAGGTAGTCATTTGAGACATTGATAGGCACACATCCTTATGCAACAAAACAGTGAATATGTTCAATGGTTCCGTTTGCAGTAAATTTAGGAAGAATTCTATCTGGTGCTGGTGCACTTCCTCCCTGTAGTAGCTTTTCATAACATCGAGGATTCTGCTAAAGTACGAGTGCCAGAGATCACAGCTGGCGGTATATTGGAACGATTCACAGGTCGTACTGGATTGAAAAGCCAACTTGCAGTAATCCTCTTAGCGTCCCCATTGTTAGAATTCAATCATTTGGGTTCCCTTTACTGACTTTCACTCGCAAAACTGACGCTTATAACTAATTACATAGTGTTGTGTTATGAAGAATCTCTAACGAGGGAACAGTTGTGCTCCACTGCTGTAACTTGCTTTTTATTTATTTGCCAATCTTTGTAATGATACGTAGGCTATAAGGATAACTGCCAAATTGCAGCATTTCTTTCTTTCACTTGAGTCTTGCTGTGAAAATCATGTTGATAGTTTCCAGTTAACCACTTGAAGAGGTCACGTTCATCCAATTTTCTCATACAGATTATAATGCCTTTTTTTATTTCTTTTGCAGTCCATTGAGCCTTGCAAGCCTGAAAATTGATGTAGACACTCCATATTTAAATTTGTTTTCAACGAAGGAATGCAATTCAGCAGACTATCTGGTCCAAAGCTTTCATACATCGGAATCATCCGTCTCCAAACTGAAGAGACTTCACGAAATGAGCGAAGAGTGAAATTATTTTTCTGCATCTTGAGTTTCACTTTCACTTAGATTGCTTGTTCCATATGCTCATCTCTTCTCTGTGCTTAGAACCTGCTAGTAACTTTGTTGAATAATTATTGTCTGATGACTGAGATGATAAAATGCGTATGAGGACTGCAGTAATTTTTCACAACCATTTGCGTGTAGCAACGATATTAGGCAACTTATCAAAAGCGCGAAATATTGAGTCACCACGCAACTAACCGTGGTGAGTGGTGCCACAGTCGCATGTTATCGACACTTGCAATTTCAACACATAGCATGGAATTTCCATAAGACACTGATTGAAAACACTTTGAGTGAAACAAGTTATATGTGTTCATCATAAGAACTTGTGACAAATTCACACGAGGTTCACATGTGACTGTTATCACTATAATCTGAATTATGAATCTAAGTTCCATTTCTCGTTGAGTGAACTGCATACAAGAAAGTGAAGTCAGTGAAAATCTGTCAAGAAATGAGTGTCACTTGTATTCCTATTGTTTTCAAGTCATTAGGTAGTCTAAGTACAACTTGCCATAGCTTTTTCGTTTGAACATCAGCTTCATAGCTGTTTAAGAATTTTCAAGTTAATTCACATATTTTTATTACAAGCATAGAATTTTTAAAATATGATATTCGTAGTCCAAATAAACAGGGCAGACCATTATTATCAGGTATGCATCGGCCAGGAATTAAACCCCGGAACATGTGCATGTTTGGCGAGCGTCTTAACAGCTGAGTGTGAGTAAACAAGCCTCTTCTGCCTTATATATTTTCACACAAGCTGATCTGAACAACACTATGAATAAGCATGACAGCGATATCACTTTTGTGCGTCAGGAATACGTTAACGAGTTAAGTGTGGGCAGAAACATTGTTCAAAATAGCAAATCTTTGCGAATCTTATTCGCTTACGAAATAATTAAGTGAAAACGATACGTACCACGTCTGCGAGCTGAAGACGAACAGCAACATAACGAGATCGAATCTTCTCCACAAATAAAAATAAATATAACATAACGATACCGAATAACCTAAACTATTTTTGCAAACAGCATCAACAACAATTCACATCAACTAAAGCAAAATTTATACCAGTTATTCATTATATGATTAGTTATGGGTCACAGTATTAAAATGTCTTAACGTCCATTTTCCAGCTGTTACAAGATTGTTAGTGATGTTTAAGGGGTATTTGTTGTTAAAGACATGATCCCATTTGATCATTTCATACGAATCGGAAAATTACACATACATTGTCTTCAGGTTTCTAGGATAAGTGATTGCTGATGACACGATCCACTTTCTTTCTGTTTGTTTCCTGGTATTGTGTCATTCTAAAAGCTCATGCGAGGTGTTGAATCGATGAATAAAGCATCAGTGATTAACTACTTCTCTCTTTCTCCACTTATCAACCCTTACACTTTTAATTACTCTCACTGTGTCACACCCTACTCAGTGATAAAATACAAGTGAATGAAATGCAATAGCTGAGGTTTCCTTTAGTTTACTTAACATAGCAGTGTCAATCTTTTTTTATTTGGCCACATTTTTATGATCCAACAATCTAATGGACCTAGACGTATGTGAACCTATACAAATGAACTCACAGTCATTGCACAGTATCTGGCGAATTACATTACTTTTCCCAGTAGGGTATTTTGGGTTCATTAGCCGACAAAATTAATCTTATATCAATAATGACCCAACGTTGAGCTTCTGGAGTTTCTTCTTTATGCAACAGTACTACACAGGTTTTGAGTTCTTTCTTATTTCTATACTATCTTCATCACTGATCGTACTGTTTCTATGAATTTTCATACCTTTCTGAATAAATATTGGCAAGTG